TATCTACTGAGATGATGTCACAGGATTAATCAAACAATCATTGCGAGCTATAACTTTTAATGGCTTTTTATTGCAGAAGGAGAAATTTATTGAGTTCCTTACCATTTAGCTAAAGTGTGAGAAATAAGCAGCTTTCGTTTCACGTTATACGTGGTATATATAGTAGTCTGTATTAGAATTAGATGGAACCACTATAATTTGTTATGATATGGATTATGGAACACGTGCTGTCCTGTATACAAGTTAAATAAGCTGAAAGTATAAGCATGTACCAGCTAGTGTCCACAGTATATCACGACAATTCACAAGTTTTATTTATTCATTGACATGCAACAAACATAAAAGTACGTATTTTCTTAATGTATATTTTTGTTTTGGGTTACAACTAAAACAATTGGCGTAGCTTTGGTTGCACAAGTTGTCAACTTGAAGAAGAAGGTTTGTGTCACAAATGATACATCTCACAGAGGTGGGATCTATATGTTTGTGTCACAAATTTTGGATTGTATGTTTACATTTCAATATGGAATCAGAAAATGCCATTTGATATCTTGCCGTTCACGTATTTAGCTTGATTGATGTTGCGCATGATGGGGCATGTTAAGAGTTTGTGTCCTCTGTTGAGAAATGAAGGCTTGTTCCCTCGTTTTCAATTGGTTTTGAGTTCGAAACTCTAATTCCAATTAAATTTAATACGAAAAATTACATTTTTGGATCACCTCACAATACAATTTCATATATAATTCTACGAAATAACGTTGGTGTGATATATAAGCATGAATATTTATTTAGTATAACCCGTAATTTGCAGTCAAATGATCTTTTCTCTCTCGATAATTGGGTGGTCTTGAATTCAAAATGAGAATAAAAGAAATCAATAATTTAATGCAAAGTGGGAAATTTTTCTGCTTCATTTTCAAAGAAGCATGGGAATTTTTCATTAGAAAAATGATTATTTTCTATAAAAGAATGTTATAATAATGACAAATATGTATGACAATCTAGCTAGGTGAGATTTTATCTTCGTGCTGCTGGTATCTAATCTAATCTTCTGTGACTCAAATGTTGACATTTCACCTCTACTAAGACCATGCCAACAACAAATAACATGCATGGCCACCTGCGTTTGCTTCTCAAGCAAACTTCCAGGATTTTGTTTACAAATGATGTCATATATATGTATGTAACCATGAACTAGAAAACTACGACGCAAACTGATCACAACAATAATTAAATAATGTTCATGAAAACGTCTCTTGCTGTCACTCTTGGTTTATGTTGTCACATATATATTTACCAGACTAACGATATTTTTTATTTTCAGAGAGTTGAAGGTCTTTGTCAAGGCTGGTGGGCTCATTATTTCTGCACAAGACTAACGTGAAATATAGCGAAATGCCACTATTTTTGTCTTCTAGTCCATTTGGAGTGGGGATCTGGAACTCTCAAACTTTTCTAAGCTCCAGTTGTCACTAAGGGTACGTAATTGTCTAACTGTTGATGTGAATGAGACTAACTCGTTTATACATGTAAGTTACTGTTGATGTGAATGAGACTAACTCGTTGTAAGTCTTATGCACATCAACAATTAACAGTTATTCATGTACATGAGCGATAAATTAAACTCATCCCGGATATAATTAACGCCTAAATTTGAAGATGAGCTGATTAAATTTCTTATACAAGAGTAGAATTAATCCGCTAATTTGTAAAACACGTCTTGGATAATAAATCCCAAGTTTGTACTTAATTAATTAGTTGTCTTTAATTATATAGGTGCACTACCGACACATAAAGTTGTTTAATATACTATTGATTGTATGTTGATATTCAACATATTACTTTCTCCAACGACAACCGCAATAGCAAAATTTGAAAAGGAAGGAAAAAGATATGGGTATCAAAACCCTAATAAAAATAAATGCCGGTTAGTAACTAAAGTATGAAGTGGTTGCTCTGTCATTAATCAGCCAAATATAATGATTAGAGTTAAGAAATTCAGAGAATTAGCTTCAAAATCATTAGTACAGAGACCTCTAAAAGTTTCCCTAACTAATTTATGGTTCAACCATTAGCTGACGATAGCAAGAAAGTGAAATATATAATAAATGAGTAATGCTACTCTTGCCAGATGAAGCGGATAGCCACGTCAATTAAAAAGTGTCAATAAATCATTAAAAAAAATAAAATATTGAATTAATTTTAATTGATATGGCTGTCCAACTCATTTGCCACGTAAGATAATATGGGACTGTTATATACAAATGTGGTAAGAGTAGCATTATTCATAATAAATTAGATAGGAATTAGCGTATAATTATACTATTTCTCAAACTTTTGTAGTTTCTCCAAATTGATTTTTTTGTTTTTTGTTAGGTAGGTAGAATGGTCATTTTAGCACACAGTAGTACCGTCGAACAGAGAAATTTTTGTATGTGACGATGATTAAGTGTACTTAACATTTAAAACAAGGGAATTGTCAAGAATTTAGTATACGAATCATCACTAAATTACAGCGGAGGTCTCATTTGATTAAACAAGTGGGTCCATTCCATACACTCTCCAATTGAACAATGTTTGAACTCTTAAACAATAAGTCTACGATTTGAACGATAAAAGATTCCACCCTAATTACTTATTTAATATCAGGTAGCACCAAAAAAATCGCATGAAATCTTAGTTGGGGATAGTACTGTCAATATATATTTCGTTACCAAACTATATTGAAAATTGTTCCTCCACCAAATATATATTTATATTAAAATTACACCTCCGTTTAGTTTTCACTAGTACTGTCAATTGCATCTAATCTTTTCAAAGTTAAAGTCAAATTAATGAACTGATTAGTTGGCTTCAAACAAGATAATCCGATTCTAGTACGACAAGCGTGTTGAACTAGAATTATACTTCTTTTTTTAAATTTGCTGGTGGCGGATGCTTATTTTATGAGGAATATTGTATGAGTGATATAGGTTATGGGGTAAAAAATTAGGGAATTTTAATTTATAATTTGAAGCTTAAAAGATATGTACACCGTATGATCCATCTTATTTTGAATCTACATCTGATGTTGAACATATAGCTGAAGTGATAGAGGAGGAGCTAGAGCGACGCGCGCGCAAAAACAAAACCGGCAAGTTACAAGTTTGGGCCCCGAGCTCCGATTTGGGCCCATAACCCATCTTTTCGAAGGGAACAGAGCTACGAGTAAAACCAATCTTCGAGCATTCGAGGTCGTTTAGCAGCCCAAACGGGCCTTTTAATATTTTCCAGATTTTTAGAAACTTTTGTTAATTTAGGAATATTTAAACCAATTTTAGTCCGTAGTCAAGACATTATGTTATTATTATGAAGTTAATAAAATTAAGGTATTCTCATTTATGATGGATTCCAGACTTAGTTCTCTTAGATAATCATTTGATTGCCTCATTACGATTATCAAACTGCGTCAACATCAATTCACATGTACATATAAAATTTGCAATATGAACATATCACACCTAACCCAACAATATCTATCCATATTTTGTATTGCAATAAAATTTGCTAGGGACAAAATATTGGAAAATTTCACAGCAAGAAAGGCATGTGATCACTCATGCATATCTATCCATATTTTGTATTGTCTGTTGGCAATAACTTATACCACATATGTTTGCTTTTATTTTTTATTTCTCAATTAGTAACCGAAATAAAAAATAAAAACTAATTAGTAATAGCTACTTAGCACTCTGGCCACGTGGATTTTTGTTCCTTTTGAAATTAAAATTTGGCCAGGTGGGATGTTTAATTATCAATTATATATGGACAGAATATATAAAAGGTCGTCCGATGAGAGTACGTACATGCATTAGAAAACAAAAAAATAATAATTATATATCCTTAGAAAATATTGCAACGTTATTTTAATTATTTGTTTAATTTTGTGCATCGATCCTTTTTAGAGGCATGCAAGTCCATCGGTCTACCAATCGGTCTGCAGTGTTAGATAGACACTTACCTTTATGCGCCACCAACAAAAGAAAAAACGAAGAAAAAAAAGCTGAGCCATGGTTATGGGTTTAAGTACTTGAGCTGTACTTCATTATTTCCGCACCATATTTAGCACTTGAATTAGTACGTATATTGACGTAGTATTCATAAAATAATGTTCTCTTATCGTACTTATATTTGTGAAGAAAATATTTTACAGAATTCACAAACATTACAGCAAATTAGGAGATTATATTATAGGACAGACAGATACAATAATTTTATGCTCTTCAAGGGAAGACAAGTTTTATGGAAATTAAAGCTTTTTTTTCTTTTCACAAATTGCAAAAGGTTTTTGCCTCATGTGCAGAGTGCTATAGCTAAAGAAAGGTAGCTTTAGCCTCTAGAGACTAGAGATATTCAAAAGGGGCTTTCTCTAGAAGGCCAGTGTCATCTCTTTATGTCACATTTTCATCTCTTCTCATCTAACGGGCCATGAAAAAGCTTTCCCTACGTACCCCACCATCTGTTTTTTTGTCGCGGTGGTTGCACAAAGCAGACAGAGAGAGAGAGAGAATGAGAGCGTGGTCCATGGTTGTTTAAGAGGTGGTTTTCTAAGGAGATTTTAAGGTCGAGGGTCATAGTTATGGATGTGAGCTTGCGCCCTTACACTACTAGTTTCACACAGGGTCCTCTCTGTGGGACCCTTTTATTGATACTGGACCCCACGACTCTCTACATCTTTGTAATGTAAGGTGGGTGGCCCTTCTCGGAGAAACAGTAAAAATAAATAAAAACTCAATCTTGTGTAAACACATGTCCCATGAGAACCAAAAGCTAGAATCCATTCATGTATCTTTTGCCCTTTTCGTCCTACAACACATATATATAGTCCTTCTCCTACATACTTGTTTGCGTACACAACCATTTGTTATTTGCTCCTCTCTCATTAGTCCTCTCTCTCTCTCTCTCTCTCTCTCTCTTGTACCTTCTTCACCACTAGTACTTCATTAATTTTGATCAGAAATCTTTCACTAATCAAAATGGCGCCTGAGAACATGAGTATATCTGTAAATGGGCAATCCCAAGTCCCTCCTGGATTTAGATTTCATCCAACAGAAGAGGAGCTCTTGCAATACTACTTGAAGAAGAAGGTTTCAAATCAGAGTATTGATCTGGATGTTATCCGAGATGTTGATCTCAATAAGCTTGAGCCATGGGATATACAAGGTACATAAAAAGACCATTTTCTATTTTCTATTTTCTATTGTTTGGTCCTTGTCTAGTAATGAAGTTTGGATTTTGGAACCAATTAATTATTCCTATATGACCCATTATAAGTTTTCAAATTCCTTTGTTTTTTCCTTTCAGAGAAGTGTAAAATAGGAACCACACCGCAAAATGATTGGTATTTCTTCAGCCATAAGGACAAGAAGTACCCCACCGGAACACGAACAAATCGTGCAACTGCCGCCGGATTCTGGAAGGCCACTGGCCGTGATAAGGTGATAAGCAGTAACTGCAGGCGGATCGGTATGAGGAAGACACTTGTGTTCTACAAAGGCCGAGCTCCCCATGGCCAAAAGTCCGATTGGATAATGCATGAATATAGACTTGATGACAACAACACTAGCAATTGCATCACTAATGTAAGCCACTTTGTGTACTTCAATAATCACACCATTCTTAATTATGTTCTATTTTGAACAACATAGTGATTATGTTTTCAAGGAAATATTCTTTTGTCAGATTGTGTTTTTGCCTGAATGTGCGGTTCAAATTTAAATACAAACATATGCTTAAGTATGTTTTATTTATTTTAGGTGCCAATGATTGTGGGAGAGGCAGCGCAAGAGGAGGGATGGGTGGTTTGCCGAATCTTCAAGAAGAAAAACCTCCATAAAATTAGTCCGGGCAGCACAATCATGAGCGCCACCACTTCATCCTTGACAACAGAAACAAGAAGTGCCCAATCCCTGTTTGATTCATGCCCTGAGGGAGCTTTGGAGCAAATGCTTCAATACATTGGAAGGACCTGCAAAGAAGAAGAGAATGAAGCCAACAACATGAGCACAAGATTCAACCTCCAACCCATCAACAATCACAATGGCTACAATGAGAGGTTCTTGAAGCTTCCAAGCCTAGACAGCCCAAACTCCACCAGCAGCCAAGACTGCTACCAACCCAATATTCATGAGGAGATGATGGGCGCAGAGAATAATATTGATGAGGATTTTCAGCACCAAATGGACTCAGGGCTCACCAACTGGGCAGCCCTCGATCGCTTTGTGGCCTCACAACTGAATGGCCAAGCCGAGACCTCTAGACAATTGGCTTGCTTCAGTGACCCTTACGATTGCAATGATGATCATCATGAGCTCCAATTACCAACAACTCTACGATCAATATCTTCATCTTCATCCAACAAATCCTACCATGCCACCCAAGACTACAACAACAGCGAGATCAACCTCTGGAGCTTTGCTCGGCAATCATCATCTCTGTCGTCCTCCGACGCGCTGTGCCACGTGTCGAACGGTCCTATATAACGGAACAACCCAATATCATATAAGAATGTTATCTAGTCCATCAAAGTCAGAGGAATATAATTACAAGCACAGTAATATATGTTAGACAAATAAAGGTTAATTATTAGTTAACAAGTTTTTATAGATGGGTTGGCATTGTCAAGTACCATTATCTTAGGTTAATCACCATGTTTACTATTAAAAAAAAAAATTCACTGTTCATGTCTAGAAGAATATGTGTATATATTGGCAAAGTGTGTGAGCTTGTTGAGTGGAGTTCTACTAGCACTCATATCTCTTTATAATTCCAAATGCAATTATAATTCTAACTTTTGCATCTTCTAAGGTCGAGATATTCAAGTTGGTGATGGACCATATACATATATATCATCATCATCATCATCAATTTATTATCTTTGAGATCACGTGGCTTGTCGGTTTGTTTGAGGAAGGTGCCGAGCCCATGGCTCAACCAATTAATCATCTCATCTCATCACTCTTGAGGGCGATATTTACAGCTGCTGAATGTGTAAAGGATACACAGAGAGAGAGAGAGAGAGAGAGAGAGGGCAAAAGGTTGCCCTACTTTTCAAGAAGTCAAAAGGGAATGGAATCATATAGAGAGAAACGCGCGTAAGCTTTGCATATTTGTCTCGTCATCCGAGGGAAGAAAAAAAAAAAGAATTGGTAATGAAAATAGGTTGACAAGAGGACTGTGTATAGTGGGTATAAGTGCACGATAGTTTGTTTAATTTTGACTATTTCCCTTTGATGCATGACACCAATATTGTGGCGTTGTCTTGGGTTATTGTCGTATTCTATGCCGATCATTGCTATGAAAAATGTACGTCAATCCTTGCAAGTAAACTTATGTGCATTCCTTTTGTTTGCATATGCTGTTTTGAGATTGATATACGATGTTAGGTCCTAGTTTTTAGCTTATGCTCTTGGATTTTGAAGAATTTGATCCATTTTTGCTCAAATGATGTTACCGTCACACTCAAATATATTTTTATTTGATCACGACTCAACTTGATAAAAAAAAAAATTAAAAAAATTAGCAAGTTCGCCAGGGTAATCCTTGTTTGAAATTAAGACCCAAATTAACATGAATAACAAATAAGTCAAACACGAATAACTATTTTACTAGACAAATACAAAGAAAAATTGACCATTTCCTCATAGATAGACCATAAGCAAGTTGCCTTGTTTGAATGCCCTCCATCATACATGCATATGCATGCATGTCCAATGAGGCACACACGTGTGGAGGATTGTTAGTGTGGCATGTGATTAAAATGGGCAAAAGCCAAAAGATAAGATAAGTAAAGAAAGGGTGACGCATAAAAAAGGAAACTGGGGGGCAACAGGTAGCGGGATTCTAGGCCATGCCACCAACCATGGGATACCTTGGAGTACCTTTATCTATTATACTTACTAAACTCGATAACGACCTCCCACGTACAAACTACAAACTTACTTTTCTCCTTCTCACTGTACGTCTTTCCTTATGTTTAAAAACCTCAAAGGAGTTTTATGAAAAAACCGAAAATCTTAGGAGATGTTAGTGTAAATAACTCAAATTTGAACCTTATAGGAACTCTATATGGTACTAAGCCATTTATGCGTCTTACCATGCAATGTATAAAGTGTAAAATATTGTGGTAAATCATTATAAATAAATGATTATGGTGTGTTTAATCTTC